TATGGAAAATAGTATGTGAACGATACAATATGGAAAATAGTATGTGAACGATACAATATGGAAAATAGTATGTGAACGATAAAAATTCTATCATCAAAAATTTGAAAATATATCAGCATTTTTATAGTGAATTATTATGCATAATTATTTAGAATAAACATGAATACCACAACCCATCCTCCTGTTTGGTAATATTAATTCTAATTTGGTATTATTCATTTTATAGACCCCCAAAATAGCGAAAACAAAATTTGACTATTACTAAGCCTAGTTAGGTCTATTCCTATAGTACATATATGTACTATATTAGACCTCAGGTCAGCCCGTCCTCCTAAGGTTTCTCATCGTCACGAAAACGGTCAAATTGACGTGCCCTTATCCTAACCTACCAGAGGACCCACAACAGAAAACGGGAAAGTACGTCACTTTCGCCAGCCACTTCCATTTTCTAGTACGACAATTATTGTCCCTTATGTAACGCATACGATCGAAATGCGACGTTCTATGTAAGAGGACGGGTTGCTCAGGTAGCGTGTATATGATATATATATATATATATATATATTATATATATATATATATAATATATAATATATATATATATATATATATATATATATTAAACCTAGGATGGTTAGGTTAGGTTTTATTAGCAACCTAAATACAATACCATTTTTGGTTTGTCCATATTCAATAGTACCAAATTCTACTTTCTAACTGTCTATAACACATCAATACTATAAGTGCTATCTAAACAGGAGGCTGAGTCTCAAGAAATGCTTAACAGTTAAAAGATTCCAGGCGCTTGAGTCTCAAGACATATAACTCCTCAAGACAAATTCACTTAATAAAGCTATTCTTTTAAAAACACCAGAGCGCCCTCCACCTTCCTTCTTCCCAAATGGCCAATATTTTCCCCGCCACGACAAATGGAACATTATCCATTCGTCGTCCACGTCCTCGCGGTGAATATAAAAACATTACGATTGTCGAACCGCAAGATTTAGGACCTCTCTCATGTCAGCTTTATCAGTGGTGTGGCGGAGGTCCCGGAGTCCCGGCACGCGCACGCACACATGCACATACACACACACACACACACACACACACACACACACACACACACACACACACACACACACACACACACACACACACACACACACACACACCACAAACACACACCTCACTGCTGAGTGGACAGCGCTCGGGGGTCGTAGTCCTAAGAGGTCGGGTTCGATCCCCGGCGGAGGCAGAAACAAATGGGGCATATTTTCCCTGTTCACCTAGCAGTAAATAGGTACCTGGGAGTTATACACCAGCTACGAGCCTCTTCCTGGGAATGTGTGTGTGCGTGCGTGTGTAAGAGGTTAGAAAAGCGTGCATGTATCCAAGCCTGCAGATACAAATAGTAAATACAAACATACGGGTTAAAATCTAACAAGAGGTCTTACAAATCTATATAGAAAAATGTAAACAAAACAGCCTACGATGATGTAGAAGACACCAAACTCAACACGGACTCTGCTAATATTCCAGCTCTGCTATCCAAGACCAATCTAGATTGAATTATTATCTTTACTGACAAAATTAATATGCAATTTTGCCTAATCGGAGTAATTCAATTAGATGTTATTACAGTGATGATGATGCTCATTTTCACTGCCACACGGGGCAGGAGATGGTCTAGATGGTGGGAGGTCGGGGAAGAAGAGGGAATGAAGCTTTCAGGTAACTGAAAAGAAACCCAATTAAGAAAACACAGAGAGAAGAAAACAGAACAGCAGCGCTGCTGGAGAAAGTCATTGGGAACCTACAGGAAGAAGGCACCCCACACACGGTTACTGAGAAGTGAGGGAGTAAATAAATAAAAGAGGAAATAAATAAAACCCAATAGATATAATTTACATTTTAAATAGAACTGGCTCCCTACCTTTCTCAGACACGTTTATCAAGCAAGATGGAGACTATAAAGCTCATAGTCGTCAGAAAACCAAATTTGTTTACCTTTGATCACTCATGATAACAGAACGAGACGAGGGATACCTTGAGGTGGTTACCTTGAGGTGCTTCCAGGGCTTAGCGTCCCCGCGGCCCGGTCGTCGACCAGGGATAGTGAGTAAATATTAGTGCCCTATGATGCCTTCACAGATTCGCTGCGTTATTGTGTTTTTCACTGTACATTAATAGTGGTTTGCCTCTGTATTTGACCATTTAGAAATTTCTGGCTTACAATCTTATCAAAATTTATCAACAGTAACACCCGTGGCGTAGTGGTAACACACTAGCTCCTCGTCTCGGGATCAATTTCATCTGGGTTCGAGCCCTGGCCATGTAGGATTGACTGGGCGCCAATTCACAATTGTTCGCCCCTGGCCACCCAGCAGTAATTGGAAACCCGGTTTGTAAACCGATTGCTGGGTAGTGTTGCATGAAAAACTAGTAGAGTAAGGCTTAAAATGAGCTATGGAAAGGGAAAGTTCTAAGTCTGTTAACTCTAGGGCGCAGGCGGGAGAGATACATAATAATTTACACGTGGAAAATTATAGAGGGGCATGTCCCAAACCTACACACAGAAATAACATCACATGAGACCTGAAGGCATGGCAGGATGTGCAGAATACCCCCGATAAAGAGCAGAGGTGCAACAGGTGCTCTGAAAGAGAACGCTATCAACATCAGAGGCCCGAGACTGTTCAACACGCTTCCACTACACATAAGGGACATAACTGGCCGACCCCTCAGTGTTCAAGAGAACTATCAACATCAGAGACCCGAGACTGTTCAACACGCTTCCACTACACACAAGGGACATAACTGGCAGACCCCTCACAGTGTTCAAGAGAACTATCAACATCAGAGACCCGAGACTGTTCAACACGCTTCCACTACACATAAGGGGCATAACTGACCGACCCCTCACAGTGTTCAAGAGAGAACTATCAACATCAGAGGCCTGAGACTGTTCAACACGCTTCCACTACACATAAGAGACATAACTGGCCGACCCTTCACAGTGTTCAAGAGAGAACTATCAACATCAGAGGACCGAGACTGTTCAACACGCTTCCACTACACATAAGGGACATAACTGGCCGACCCTTCACAGTGTTCAAGAGCAAACTTGATAAACACCTCCAAAGGATACCTGATTAACCAGGTTGTGATTCATACGTCAGGCTGCGAGCAGCCGCGTCCAACAGCCTGGTTGACCAGTCCAGCAACCAAAAGGCCTGGTCGGGGAACCGGGCCGCGGGGATGTTGAGCCCCGAAATCATGGGGGGGGGGGCCCTTAAGGTAACACCCGCTCTGAAGCCATTACAGACACAAAACCTCCTCCTTCACCCTCGTCGTCAGGAGCAGAACAGAATCATTTGGGCCACAAGTGAAAACAAAGTCTTGTAGAAACTGTGACGACGTATACACAGGAGACAAACTTAGATCAGAGGATTTGAGAACGTAAATATTCGTGTCAAGAGGCTGAGAGCACCAACTCGTCACACACAACCACCACGAACAACACCAGGCCAACTTTAACGATGCTAAAATATCCATCACAAAAGAAAACATTAGAAGACAGAGTATAGAAACTCCAGCCACCAGACAGTGCAACACCAGCGGAAAGAATTGCAGGAATCTTGGTATCGTAAGCACACTTTGTACCTAAAAAAAAATACATATTATGATCAACTTATTTCCACGCTTAATGTCTTAACCCAACTTCACTTCAACCTTATTTTTCCTTCATCAGCAACTAACTTTGTGGATTTTATTCAGCCCGTCCTCCTAAGGTCTCCTAACATCAAGAAACTGTCGTACTAAAGTGTCCTCTCCTAACCCGCCAGAGGACCCAAAACAGAAAACGGGACAGTACATCATTTTTGCGAGCCGCTCCCATTTTCTAGCAAGACAATTTCTGGCCTTAGGTAGAGTACGTTCTATTAGAAGGACGGGTTAGCCCTTGCAGTCTGAATATTGCGGAGGTTCCTGCTGCCATAATGTTCGGGTGTTTTCTTGATGTACCGACTTTCTAGTTCTTCTGGCGAGTCTGCAACGTACTAATGTCTTGTGTTTACCCCCTGCGCAGGGTGCTGACCTTCTGGTATCTGCCGGTGTTCAACGCCTGGCTGCTGTTGTGCCCCTGGACGTTGGCACACGACTGGCAGATGGGCTCCATCCCGCTCATCACCTCCGTCATAGATACCAGGAACATCGCTTCTCTTTTGTTCTACGGCGCCCTTGTACTTATACTCAGAGCTGGATGCTTGATGAAGGTAATATAATATTGGGCAGTGTTGCTGTTGTGTTTTATCTGTATTATTTACACCCACCACACACACACACCTGCCTACCCCAACACACACACACACACACCTGTCTATCCTCCACCACACACACCTGCCTACCCCAACACACACACACACACTTGCCTATCCTCCACCACACACACCTGCCTACCCCAACACACACACACACCTGCCTATCCACCACACACACACACACCTGCCTATCCAACTTCCCAATCCGATTCCTACATGTAACCTGCATACGCTGGTGTAGATAACGGAGTTCTCCACCAAACGCTCATGTGATATATCATGTTACTGTGATAGAACTGTGTATTTAACTGAAGCGTTTGGTGGATAACTCCCTTCCCTCCACCAGTGTTCGCGGGTTACCTGTAAAACTTGCAACAGATACCAGCTCAATGCCTACACATTCCTAGTGGGGCTCGGCCACACTCCAGGTTGAGTAACGTTTAGCATACATTTCGTCTATGGGTACAGCGTGCGTCTGGGGCGAACCACGACGTTGGTTCGACGTCGCACCTTTAATATATGTTCGATAGCCTAATACTTGCTATCTTAGGCTTATATATTAATTATATTTAGAGCTCCCAGAGAATATGAGCGGTGCGTGTCCTCTCATGGTGGAAGTCTTCCCTAATCCCAGGAAGGAAAATGTTATATCTTACTACCAATCATCCACTGCCTTCTCCCCATTTGCACTACTCTACATCTCAATTATTCAACTCCCTCCTCTGCGACGATAGAAGGCTGGGAAATCACTTCGCAACTTCAAACATTTCATGTTTTTT